TATCTAATATTTTCTTTAATTACCAATTTGATAGAATAAGACTGCAAATTACATTTGCAGACGTGAGTTGCTGCAAGCTTGCTGGAGGACAGGATGAGAATTCAAAATGAGTTTGTCAAATTGGAGAAACAGTCTAAAAAGAATACAATTCAGAAAGTTTAAAGACAAGATTCCACAGTTAAACTACACACAGGAGGAGAAACAACTGAGTAGACAGTCATTCTTCAGAAAAGACTGGAATTTATATTGGCTCATACACGTAAAGAATTAACCCTGTCATGCTGTTTTGAAACAAACAGATATCCCATGGGGATGTGAGAAGTACTGGTCTGTAAAACAGGTTGTTTTCTACTTATTACTGGAAAGGCTTCAACTGCATTGCTATGTCTACTTTGAGGAAGACAAACAATTGAAGAGGAAAGGAACAACAAAAAAAAAAAATCAGAGGTCTAGAAAAACATGACTTACGGCAAAAGACAGAAAGAACTGGGTTATTAAATCCAGAAGCAAAGAATTGCAGGTCATGGTAATCCAAATAACTGGAAGTTGTTGCAAGGAGGAAATAAATAATATGTTCTCTACACAAAGAATAAATATATAAGAAATAATAGAATTCAACTGCTGCAAAAAAGGACTGCGTACTAGGCTGAACGCCGGGAAAAGACTGCTAATGGTAGGGCTTGTAAGGCCCGAAAATGTATTTGCCAAAGTATATAACAGAAGGTTGGACAAACATCAGTCGAGAATGGTTTTGGTGTAGTTAAGCCTTTTTTGGGAAAAGAGAATAGATCAGGTGACCAAAGCTCCTGCCCGCCCTGTTTCCTATGGTTCTGTCATTACAAAGTAAAATGCAATCCCTCAACCTAGGAAATGTCCAAACACTAAGAGTTGCCACTTGAGCTTCAAAGCCAGAGCGGGATCTGAAAGTGATGCGCGCCATTTGTATGCAAATGAACTCTCTCATCTCTTTTCTCGAGCCATCACACGTAGTGCCTCCCCTCACCCCCCACTTCTCGCCTCCCCTCCACCTCCATCGCATTAGGCCGGGCAAGTGCAAAACACGGCAACTTTCCCTCTCCCAGCAAGCTCTACACATCCTACCACCCTATGCAGGAATAACACAAGTCCTGAAGCATAGCGTCACGTCCCCAAGCGGTACCTCACTATTAGATCGGAGCCTCTAAATATGCAAAAGCCAACCCTGTGATACAGGTCACACATGGGCTTCAAGGGGTATCAAGGGGAGGGTTACATCCTCTCCCTCCTACCTCCCCCACCTCCCCAAAGCAAGCCACATGCCAAGGAGAGAAAAATAAAAGCCCCTTATGCTATCCAAAGTGACTTTACATCTCCACAGTAAATTATGCTAATTAATGTGAACTCAACATGGCTCAGGGCTATTCTAAAGGATACAACCCTTTCAGATCCTTTGCTCTGTTCTGAATTATTTCTACACTTGGTCAGAAATTGTCCACAGAAACATTTCTGCATCAGAAAAGGTCTGCGTACCGAAGTGAAGTACTGCCATGCTTCTACATTTTCAAAAACAATTAATTTAGAAAGAAAAAAACCCCTACATTTGATCAAAGCGCGTGGTGAAATATTTTTTGAATTTCAGGTTTTAATTTGAGAAGGAAAAAAGGACTTAACCTAAATGTAATCAAGCTGTTTTATGAAGAATAAAAATAGTTTCCAGCAGATGTGTCCCACGTAGGAATTTCATATCTTTGAGATTTAAATTCATCAAATTTGGTTTAAATTGATCAATGCATTCGAGAGTTATTAGGGAGAAACTAAACGGACAGTGAGATGGCATAGGTATAATTTCTTTAAGAAGTCAGCTTAAATGTTAAAAATTAAAGAATGTAAATAATATATATTTCAGTAACATATTTCTTCTGTTAAACCAAAAACGTAAAGAATTTTTCTATACAGTCCAGTTGGCCAGAAAATTGTCCTGGATAGAGAATATAAAACAAAACACTTATTTATCACGTATGCCATAGCCCACCTGGTTTGTCAGCCTGAGTTAAGTACCATTCTAAAACATGAATATATGCAGCCAGAGATCAAGAGCTCAGTACTTCCTAAAGTAACAAAACCAGATAAAGGAACTTAAATAAAATGTAACTGGTGGAGTAATTGGTACCCAATGGGATAGCATTTAGGGTAGCTTGATCATACTAGTCTGCGGACTGATAGACATCAGAGGCAACAGGTACTATGAAAGGAGGAAAGAAATGCTCCTGTTTTAGATTATTTTTGTTGAAACTTCTCTGGCATCACGATTTGGTACAGTGCCATTGAATGCATGTTGCTGTGAAGTCATTTTAAGATGGAAATTCGAGATAATTAGGGAGAAAAAAAAAGAAAGAAGTATCAACTTTGAGAGTATCTAAAATCCCAATGAATAATGCTCATTGAAAGCATGAATAAACTATATTTTGAGGTAAAAAATCATAAGCTTCAAATACAAAAAAGACATCAGACAAGTTAAATATCTAGCATCCCACAAATGGGTGGAAGTTACAGTTGCAGTAACAGGGCTCAAAACTCAACAAGTCTGCTGGTGTGTTCCATTTCTGACAAAATCAGAACTAAGCAGAAACAGCTCTTTTTACTTGCCTTTTCAAAAAAACTCTGACTGAACAGAGATGCCTACAGAAAGCTATTTCTGGGAAAAATTAACCCCCCCAGATTACCATCTCTTTGAAGCAGAAACTGTCTTTTACTATACACATGTCTAGGCCTATGTATAGTGCCATGAGATTCCAATTCATAACAAAGGCTTCCAGGCATGCTATATCACAAAAAAAGCTACATAATGGCAACTAGTAAACAGGAGCCATTGCATGTCCCTGAAAGTACAAGTTCAATAGGACTGCAAACAAAGAGACTTATAAGGTAGCTATTGTTTGATTCTAAACACTAGTTAAAATAGCCTAGTATTAACTTTGAGAACTGCAAAATTTTAATACGTTAGAAATTTGTGTTAGAGAAGAGTCAACAGATTGTAACAAAATCTACCTATTCTAGTTAGATTCTAGGTACAAAATCTCAGCGTGTGATCTGTTAAGGTCATAAAGGAGCCTACAGCCTTAAGGTCTTGTTCACAAAGCAGGCAAGCCTGGCAAATACTCAACAAGAAGAACTTCTCAGGACAGGCCTAGGACTCTGCAAAGATGGGCTGCACTTGCAGGCCTTGAAAACACTGTAAGGAGACACCTACAAATGTTCACTGCTTCACACCAGTAAAATATTTAGGGTTTTCTCCTCAAAGTCGCTTGACTGTCAAGCTCTTAAGTTCCTTTCACAGACTTTTTGGAGTTTCCAAGTTCACAAATTCCGCAAAAATAGCGCAGAGTTTGCATTTTTTTTAAATTGATAGATTGCAAAATATGTATGAAGTATTCACAGAGATTTTGTCCCTCAACCAAAGCCATATTTATTTAAAGATGCTCATAAAATTCTGCTAGCCACATCCCAGAAAAGCTCCCATCTCTTGAATCGGCCTGTTGGAAGGATAATGGGGATAGTTTGCTCACATCTTCTGCCTGAAGATTCTGCAACTGTGCGAACTGAACTTCTGTATCTTGTTCAATTTTTGAATAGTTTTCACAGTCAACATCAAATAATTTGCAAGTTAAATTCAGATATTCATTCTGATATTAATTAGTTGTCCTTCTTCAAAATAGTTCATGGGATGCAATTTCAATCAAACCACCTCTTTTTTTCAAATTCAAGTAACTCCACTTGAGTAACAGATTGAGTATGGAACACACAACTTTACCAAATTGATTAATTTGGAAGATGTCAGATATTGTTTACATTATATGAAATTGTATGCCAGTTATAATTGCAATATATGCCAGATATAACAACACTTGTTGTTTTCCAGATGTCCATTTTGTCCTCTGCAGAAAGCAGGTATGTTTTTACTAGTATTTAAACAGGGTCAGAGTAGACCTTAAGTGTATGGCAGAAAACCTGACAAACACTCCTCTTAAGACAGACAGAATATACTGCTTCTCACCCCTTCTCTTCAGGGCATTTTGGTTTTGGCTGAACAGGACCTCTGTTTGGCTATGATACGCCCCTCTATTCACATATGTAAGCTCTCATGAGCTGTCTTGAAAGCCTCTTACTCCTGTGAAGTGGCTCACTCAGGCTTTTTCTCAAGCTGCATGTCTGCCTTCTTTGCTTTGGGGATCAGGAATTAATTTTTTCTGTGGAGTGAAACTGGCATAATAACAAGATCACTTTCTACCTTTCCTGTTATATAATACAGGCACAGCAGGGTTGAACAGTCATAACGTTTCATTCTTTTCCATAGAAAATTATGAGTAAAAAGAGAGAATCTTCATGAGTAAAAAGGTCTGGGATTTCCTGGGAAAAGGTGCAAGATAGAAGAGATTAAATTCTTTGGGAAGTGCAAGGTGAGTTTGGGTGTGGGGGGGTTAAAAGTGAATTAGGCTGAAGCAGGGTTACTCTGACTTATTAGTTTGGTTATATGGTATGAGCCCTGTTGCTTGCACTAGAACCAATTAGAATGCCTAGTATGTGAGAGTGAGGATTAGGCACGTAGCACCCTACCAAAACGTTAAATGAAAAAAGTTTCAAGCTTGCTTCTTTAATCTGTCCCATGTGTCTGTCCTTCTTTCACTTAAGTGTCCTGCTCAGGCCATTACACATCTCATTACAATGACCTTAGTCTAAGTTAAAATTCACTGTCTGCGTAACTCTATTGATAGCTAAGGTACCGCTGTGAGAACCTACATGCATAAGATTACAGTTCCATAGAATACAGTCTGCACTGGAGTGATACACAGTCTTTTTTGTTTTGAACAACTCAAATGCAGGTATTTAATGAAATCGTCATGTTGAGAGAAAAAGATTTACTCAGATTGAACAGGAAATATAAAAAAATTAGTTCCCTTCTCTCACTCCCGGAGCCACTCCTTCCCAATTGAATGAGTGACAAGAAAAAATTTATTGGTAATGTTCAGTATCCTATAACTTTAAAGATTAGTTCTACTTGTGCTGCAAAGCAAGCACTGTTTACCCTCAGTTCTTTAAACTAGAACTGATCACAACTACAAAAAAAGAAACACTGTACTTTGACATTAATGTTACCTAAAACTTTGTCATGCGAAGTGTTCACTCAAGCCATTTTTAGACAATGTCCTTATAAAACAGGTTTTTCTGGTTTTGCTTACCTCTTGGGTTATCACCAATGATACTGGTTTTGCCATTCCAGTACCAGAGCAGCAATGTTGCATCACGCGATCCTGAGAGAATGTAACAATTTCCTCCGATATAGGACTCAGAACGAGCAAGACAGGTTACAACATCCCAGTGACCAAATATTACTTGTATCAGTTTACCTGAAACACACAGAATTGATTGTTTTAAAACTACGCTTTTATTCTAAGGCAAATTAAATACATTATAAAGTATTTTAGAAATATTTTCTTTATTAAAATGGTTCCAAAAAGAACTATAGTGGAGAGTACTTTTTTTTTTTCTTGATTTGGTGGAAACTTATTTAAAAGTGCAGTAGTCCACACAGTCCATACAAAAAATATTTACAGTCCATAAATATTATACTTTATTCAAAGGCCAATCATGCTAGAAGGGTTTTTTATTCTATATGCTTACATTCACTTTACAGACAGGAAACATAATGAGATTCTCTTTTAAGGCAAGTTTAAGGTAAGTTTACTGATGAAAGTAACAGCAAAAATGCAAATCTGATGATGATGTGGGAAACAGAATCAGAAGAAGCTACAGAACGTTTAGGAACCAGAAGAAACTGGCAGTGAGAACATATATGTGCGAATAGCAACATGCAGCTTTAGAGCATCTCCTTAAACAGAAAAAAGGAGATTTAGATGAAAAATTACTCTTATACCCAGGTTTTTCCATCACCATTTAAACACTTGCCAATTATTTCAACCAGCATCCTTCCCTTTTAAGAATTTCTGCAATGTTCAGAAAACATCGAAAGACAGACCTGGAAAAAACTCTCTTACCTATTGCATATAGGCAAACACTTGTACCACTGATAAGGGACATAAATGTTAAAAAGAAAGGAAAGCCTAGGCAGTTGAAAATGCGCCATTCAAGAGTCTGTCTAAACATTAATACCACTATTACCTTTTAACCTTAACTAAACAGGACAATATTTTCAGAGAAATGTAAATTTGGATGCTCATGCATAGTGGATTTGCAGGTGGCAGAGGAAACACGTAAGGTCACCCACAGTAGATCTCTGCCAGACCACCCTGCCAGAGGCTGGCTCCTGCACAGCAAACGTGTCACGTGTCCTGCTGGTTTCTGGATCTGCCAGCAGCAGATCCTATGAAATGAGAAAGTAAGCACTAAAATCCATCTCATTGGATTTGCTGAAGCCTAGCAACTGCAGATCTTGTAGAGACAGGACAAAAGATACACACATTTCTTATGTGCCTACTTGGCCCATTCAGGTAACATGGGCCAGGCCAAATTCTGCATCCAATGACAGAAGGAAATGTGATGCCGTTAATGTGTGATCTCAGATTCCTCAGCCCAAACGACCAGGTATCCAATCTGTGCTTTGGGCTGAATAAAGAATGAGGAAGAACGGAAGGGGAAGAGAGTGATGGCTTTGGAAGGATTAACAACACAGGCCAAAAAAGAAATAGGAAATGCAAACTACTGTACCTGAAATACAATGTTCTGAAAAGTGTTTAAAAATAATAACTAGAAACATGACAAGTAGTAACACAAATCAGTGTTGGGACTCAAATTAAGCACATCTTAATAAAATATTTTGGCACGTGAGTTAAAAATGATTAGTCAATCATATAATGTGGCTAGTAGGACACATTTCATAGCCCTCTTTCTATGCAGTACAAAGGCATTGTATTCATATCCAGCCACTAAATAACACTAACGGTAACGAAAGACTTAAGGGAGTGGTTCTGAGGAAAGAATAAAAATAATGTCAACAGCCTGATTTATAACAGATCAAAAAGGTAATTGCATTCAAGTGGAGAAAACCAGAAAAAAAAACAAGAGAAAGGTATTAATATCTACAAAAAAGGGGAATTACATCCTTCAGTACATGAAGAAAAAACAGAATAACATAATGCAATTTAAAGCAAACCTGTACATCAGATTTAAAATAAAACACTGACAAAACTTGTTAGGCAAGTATAATCCTCCAAGAGAAACTGTGAAATGAAGTACTATCACATGACTGGAAGGGGCAAAACCCTGGAATGCACACCTACTGTGCAGATCTACCTTCTATTGGAAAAGAGAGTAACCCAGGGATCAAGTCTTTCACTCATCTCTGTGAGCCTGTAATAGCGTTCTATAGTGGCCACCTCTGCACACCAGGGCTTTAATTTGTGCCGCAGGGTCACCTAACTGTCTCAGATGCTGACCAGTCAACAGATGTAGTCAGAAGTTACTGAACTTCACAGCTAGGAGCAGTGAAACGCTCACAGACTACATAACCTCATTTTGGCAACAAGCAAAAACATCTTACCAGATGTATGTTTTTCCCTGAAAATTCAAGTTGCCAATTACATGGTTTAGATTTGAGAATAATTTAATTATGTGATATATTTTACAGTTGTATAGCCGCAGGTATTCAACTATCTCAGGTGATTTATACTTTTAGAACACAAGTTTATGCTATAAACATTGCTGAGTTATAGAGATCTCTCTTTCAATTATATTCTATGTTTATAGATTCTGTTCTAGAAAACAAACATTTTTCAAGGCTATTTGTTTGACAGTTGTTCGTGTAGTTGCAATGCCTTGTTAGTTTTACTTTGTTACTGTGCAGCTAAGGTTCAATCAATTCCATCAAAACAAGAAATAAGCTTTTGCTCTTTCATATTAGTTAAAAAAAAAATCATTAATCTCGTAAGAGTTCCTCAACTTTTTTGTTTGTTTCCTTTAATAAGAGTTGTCCTCTCTATACAGGAATATCAAACTTTACCATATGCACTCAGATATCCCTTTTTGACAGAACAAATTTTCTAGTTAATGTTTTATTTGACAGCTGTGCTACGAATAATTAAAAGAAAAATAAGACTCAAGTCTCTGCACTACTGAATCTAAAATGCTGTCTAGAAATCATTCCCACTACTGGAGGGAGGTTTTATTGTGCTTCTGCTATACTAGCTGTGCTGAGAACCCATGATTTATGATAAAAGTATTTCCTGTTAAAGAAACCCAAACAAACCCAAAATCGAATAGGAAAAAAGTTCCTTTTCTGTGTAAGTGCTAAAATATAATTGAATTCAACACTTGTGATCACTTGCCATTATGCATTACTGATCACATCATCTTTTTCCCTTGCTGTTCTGCTGATTTCAGAGTAAGTATTTCACTGCTATATTCTCATTTTAATTCAAAGCAAAATAAACTACATCTGAATTCACTTGATTTAAGCTAGAGCTAGAGTTGCTATATTGACAAACAGGAGACACACAGCAGACACAAATCTTCTGCAACTTTTTTGACAACTGTATTTTAGTTTATACTGTAATTAGCTATGGTAGTAACGAGATGCCTGGTGTATCTGACTTACACACAGAGGACATAAGTTAACGAGATATCTGTAGTTCAGATTTATACATGACAAAGCTACCAAAATCATACAAGTTCCTTCCATAGGTGTAAAGTAAAATATATCCTTCGACCTAAAAGAATTAGTTCTCTATTCATATAAATCAAGAATATACACTGAATATTTATTACTGCTAGCAACTTTTCTGAAGATCTCCTTTAAATTCACAGTTTTATGTAAATTTATTTTCATCAATGAGAAAATTAAACTAAGAAGGGTCTAACAAGATGTCCGTATAATGAACTGTAGGCAGTCAATAGGAAGTAAATGCAACTTCTCCTTTTTACTTAAGGCTTTAAAATTGCAAAAATGACAGATATGCTAAAATATGCCATGCGATCTAGTCTTAACAGATTTTCATTAAAGACCATCCTGTTTTGTTAAACATTTTGATTTGCCAAGTGTGAAAAACACTATTAACTAATATATTTAAGAAATGATGACAAACATGTAGGATATTCCCTAGGGATTAATAACTTACTGGAAAGCTTGATGGCACACACACATTAACCACACCGGGTCATTAATCCCAAAGAAGTACCTTGCAGTGAGGTCGCTATTCCCATTATAAGATAATGAAAGGGAAAAAATCATACCTATTTTTTTCTGGGGCTCCATGGCTTTTAAATTCCTGTAGCTCTTACACTGAAAGCTTCTTTTCTATTTAGCATGACACATGCATGACTTCAACGGTTTGGATACATGCCAGCTGACAGACTAATTTAACTGCTGCCCATTATATCGATCAGTTTATGTTATATGAAAGAATTCAGTGGCTCCAAATCAATTTTTCTATTATAGCATAGCTTTCAAAGGCTTTCGTAAGTATTCTTTCACCAGATTTCAAGACTTCACTTCTGTTCTTATTCTGTGGTGCTTGCCTGTATTTCCTCAAAAAAAATTCTCTGGTGCTGAAAACCAACCAGAGTTAAATTCAAGTAAGCACTCTAAGAACAATTAATTTTCCTGGTATGCAAAGCTTCACAAAAACTCATTTACTTGTGGAAACTACAGTGTAAGAACAGGCATGCCTGCCATACAGACTTAAAGTGTGATGCTATGGCTAAACAAGAGCTCCTTGTCTTACATTTGCCATCATTCCACAAAAATGATAGCATATAATACGCAGTAGCAGTAGGTAAGAAAAGATTTGACAAATATTATTAATAGGGGAATAAATACATACTCCACTTTCTCCCCCCACTCCTCATTCTTTCTTTATCTGAAACAGTAGGTTGACGATGAACAGAAAAACCTTTTAGGCTATTCGCATATTTTAAAAATACATTACCTGAGTCGGTAGAATAAACTCGGAAACTCTTGTCCCAGAAGCCACAGACCAAGATGTAACGATTATCAGAGGTGATGACAAAACACTGGGAATGTACCTGAATGCTTTGGTCTAAAAGGTCAGTGATTTGCCTTCTGTGCATACCTGTATTGCTGGCTGAACAGAAAGACACGCAAATCGAGAAATTTTAGCATCCACATTCACAGAACAAAAGCACATTTTAGAAACCTATGTTCACACCAAAACTATTCCTCACTGCTGTTACTTGTTTTTTGTGGCAGGGACATTTTCATTCTACTTTTACGATAAAATGCTCATTACACTTCTGGGAACAATGCTAATTCCTTGTAGTATATATTCTAAAATAGAAGAAATCCCTTCTTTAAGTCAAATGCAGCTGACATATAAATGAAAGATTGCAAAAAGGAATGATACATAAAACTGTAATAAGCTTCCTTCCCCCCTTCTTCTAGTATAGGAAATTAAAAATTAAGAAACAAAGGCAGGCAATGTAATTATAAGAGAGTACATATAAATATGTGCTGTATAGTGGCTCAAATGCAGCAGACAATGGAATTATTATTTCAAAATCGTACACAAGTTGTATTTCATTGCAAGCATTGTAATTTAAAAAAAGAATAACTGCAGTAAACATCACTACCATTTCACACTTTTTTGAGCATTGCACAAAAATTAACCAGTTTATCTCCACAATCTCCTTTAGGGTTGAGAGAAAATATTTACCCTGCTTTGATCACCTGCTGTTTTATTTCCCCAGATAATCTTGCATTGTGAACCCACAGAATGGACAGGAATCAATTAATGAACACATTTTTCATATTGTATTTTGTCCTTATTAATTTATGTGTGTGCATATATATATATATATATATGGATCCCTATAGATATGTATCATGAAAATCCTACAATGTAGGCAGAACTTTTAATGTGCTTTGTTCCCAAGGGAACCTGACTCCTATCCCAGGCAAGTAAGTTCTCCTGGGCCCAGGTTTGTCTTCCGACTGCTCTATATATTATTCTATAACAAATCCTTAATTTATTTATGCTTTCACTATGTTTAAAATGTTGACACTGTCTTGTCCATATGGGTAGCAAATAATTTAGCAAGGTATTGCCACTTGCTCTGCAGGTAACACGTAACGGGGCCTTTCAGACGTTGCTGTTTTACATCTTCCTGTGCAACTGGAAAATGAGGACAGCAGGAAACCCTCCTTATGACCGAGACAGCAACAAGGTTCCTGCTATAACCATAAAAGTGTGATTTTGTGGTCCTCTTAGGTGCCATTTCTAGGTAAATGTGTCTAGCCACAATTAAAAACCTTTAATATTATCTACATAATTACTTGCTTGTACCCAATGATGCTACTTAACAGTGACAAAGAAAGCCTTAAACCTTTTAAACTACGTCCAATGTAATCACAAGGCTGATTTGAGATCTATTGTATGAAGAGAATATTAAACCATTTTTCAGAACTGTGAACGTTAATTTTAAAGGTGTTTATACCAAACAAATGTCAAAATATTTTGTAAATTAAAGGCAAGCCTGAAAATGGAATTATAATTTTAAAATCATGAAAAATGCAAATGAAAATAAAAAATTTATTTCCTTCCTAATGTTCTTCACAATATGTAGAAAAATCATCAGACAGGTCCAATGTGATTTGGGGTTTTTTGCTGTGATGTGTATTTATATTTTTAAGATCTACTTGATAGCAGGTTTTAAAACAGAATATACATTTCCTGCTCCAAACATCTTTTGGATAAAATCTATTTCAGGAAGGGAAGGAGAGTTACAGCACATGTCCTCCTCATTATAAATTCTAAGTATTGCATTATTCAGATGGGAATTGATTTTAAAAACTTTGGAAAAACATTTTAATTTTATCAGCTCTATAAAATGGTTTAATATGCCCACACTGTTCCTGATTTAATTATCAGAGAGCTTACCCAGCAAAATGGCTACACAGCAACAGTCTGTATCTACAGACCAATACAAAGCAGTTCCTACTGTGATATGCATATTAGTTTTGAAATTAATTCTCACTGGCTGACAGACCTGTCATTCTAACCTATCCAGGCAAGTTCGTTTTTGCTCTGATTTTTCCATGCTTCTGTAATTGGCCACGTCATTTCTTTTTCACTTAAACTACCATCCTGAAATGGATGGTATAAAAAACAGAGTTAAGTTTGAAGTCTAATAGAATTGAGGGTGGGGGAGGGGAATCCTGTCGTCTTTGCTCCTGTGAACTGTCCTACAACTAGTTTGTATTTTGGGGTTAGGTTGTTTGAGTTTTTCTTTTTTGATCATGTTTAAGGTTCCATTTGCCATGCTACAGGCTCCTGAATTATAGTCCAAGTATACACTCCCTGAAGTTGGGTCTGTAATGAAAAAACTGACCAAACTCTAACCATGCTAATAGAAAAATCAGCTCTATATAAACTAATAAACCTCTATAATAAAAAGTCATGAATTGAATCTATTACACTGAGTCATTAAATAAGAGAGACATTCCTCCACCCCTTTTTAATAAAAGAAAAACATACACAAATTTAACTAGTGATGCTGATCAAAAGATGCAATACCCTTGAAAAATGAATGCTAATATCTCAGTACTATAACGGAGTGGGCAATATATTTCAACTTTGAAACCGCTTTGCAATTACACATTAATCCCCTCAGCCTGAACAGCAGGTCTATGAAGAAAGGATTGATCTCCTTTAATGATGAAACCCTGGCACCATGGTTTTATTTTTCACAACACGGTGCAGTTAAGAACCCCACTGTTATTATGAAAATTTCCTCAGCAAAGGAGCTCCATCACATTACCAGTGCACCAATTCATCATAACGTGCCTCGCTCCTGCTCATCAACAAGTCTGAGTGATGAAAAGATCCAATATTATCCTGACAGTACTTCATGCACATTCTCAATCACACATTATTACAGCATCCATATTAATTTTCACTGACACGCGTCCTAGGCCTGTTCAAATTAGGCAAACCAACGAGGGGGAGTTGATGAAATACCAGCATAGCCACAGCTCATTGCATTCCAATTTGCATGCAAATGGTTTATCAGGAAAATTCCATTCCCAGCAACCAGCAAGTGAAAAACAACCGTAATCTACACTTCAGGGCCACCATACAGAGCTTAATGAATCGCAAAGAGAGAAGGAAGTGACAGACCTATGAGAGGATCGATTTCCACTGGCAGCTGGTAAGGCTGGTCTTGTACAGCACCTTGATGAGCTGGAATTCAGGAAAGAAGGCTTTAAAACTCTGCATTTTTTTAATACATGAAGCCACGTACATTCTATAAATCAAAGCTACGTCCTTTTTTATTAACTATTCAAGATTCGTCTGCATCAATTGAATTTAAAAAAAAAAATATTCCAGGTGCTTTTGCAGGCTGCTTATTAAACATTTATTTTAGATTAGTGCTATTCTGAATGTATGCCATCAGCAGCAGCTCCGGTCCTGAGCCATAAGCTCTAGCAGATGCTTTACTGGCAACCTCTCCTGTCGCAACAAAACAAAATTAAGTGGTAAAGAGCACTGAAAACAAAATGTGACAACCATCTGCTGACTGTAGCAAATACTATTTTCCTCTTTACTTTTTAAAGCACTGCTTTGAACAAGTGAAGCACAAAGGACATTTTTTTAAAAAAGTCAGTTTATGATGCAGACAGGGAAATCTCATAGTCATCCAGTATTTAAGGATTCATCCATCAACAAAAAACATTTATTTGCAAGTCTGCATAGAAGTTAATATATAATTCTGGTGACCTACATTTCATCTGGGCACCTGGCATACTGGTGAAATGTTTACCTCCTGAATTTTCCTTCAGTGTTAAAAAAAAAAGCCTTTTTTTTTCCCCACATCCTCACTAAAAACAAACAAGCAAGCAAGCAAACTCTCCCCTCTGCCAACAGCCTACAAGACGTTCTTGGAAGCGGAACAAAAAATAATGGCTGAATACTTACACCTATGATTTTTCTATATACCGTCCATAGCTTAATATAAAAATTAGTATCAATACAAGTGTTTCATAAGTAATTGGGAAGTTAAAATTCTGCTGCAATGAAACACTAACACAGAACGAAACATGAAATTCACGTGACAAAATGGAGGCACCCTGTGGGGTACCAGTGCCATTAGATGTCAACAAAGCCTTTTATACCAAAATGAGATTTTTAATTACACATCAGTGATAACTGGTCACTTGGCAACTTAACTTTTTTATCACGATGCCTCATTAGTGAAGACAATGCTAAGCCCACAGCAGGAGATATGGAGTAGTAATGATACCTGCACTCTAATCCTAGCAGATCTCATTTTGGTATAAAATTTGAAGGCAACAATAGTGAAGGCTAGTCTCAGCAGTCCATAGCCAGTATCTTAGGCATAGTACTCCATTAACAGCCTGCAGCTGATCATGTGCTCCTCAAAGAGGTGGGGTGGGGCGGGTTTTTGTTGGGTTTTGTTTTTGGTTGGTTGGCTTTTGTTTGTCTTGAACTGTAGGTTTTCTTGAGCTCTTTGTAAAGGCAAGACAAGTATGAAATGCCTCTAAATGAAAAAATAGCGACTCAGAAGCACAGCTTACTGTTCTCCCTTTCAGAGGTGAGGGAAAAACCAAAATCTGAAGGTTTTGTTCAACTCAAAACAGTTGATTACTACACTCAATAATTGGTTGCTTGCTCACAGATCATCAACCAGCAGACTTACAAGGAAATCAAAATCAACTCCTACCACTTTACCACATCTTCTTTTCCCATGACTGTTCTATGTCCACAAAGGCTATTTTTTAAAAGCCTTGAATATTATACGCCCAAGGTCACACATCCAAGGTATGAAAGGATACTGCCATCCTCCTTTCAAACAAATGTCAAGAGCCCTGTAAATAGTTCTTGCTCACAACTTGTTATCTAGACAAGCCTCCCTTCCCCCCTTCCTTCCCACCTTTCTTTTTAAGCATTTCTTGGGTGGGTGAAATAATACATAGATGTTTATATTTGTAAAACGTTAAGAGGTAATTTGTAAGAATTAGGAAAAAGCGTGGGAGTCATCTGGCTTTTTTCAAAATGTAATCAAGGAGCATGGGTCCAGATTTCTTAGTAGGAATTTCAGTGATGTGAGTATCACTCTAGTGCAAATATCTTCTATTTAAGTTATTTGAGTAGTAGAAGCTCTTTTTTCCCTTTCTTGAAAAAGCCTTCAACCAGATTTATTGCATAGCACTGAAATAAACTAGCTTTCATGGCTTGGGCCTGAGACTGTCATAGCCAGGGAAAGGAGGATGAGTGCCTTTAAGATTAAAGAACATTAAAACTGAAAACAGAATGACTATATTCTCAAGTCCAACATATTTTTAAAGGAAAATTGGTTGCTATGCAAATGGATATGTTGCTTTCCTTTCATATTGACAAATATATAAGCACCTAATAACTTTGGGATGTTGAAGTTACAGAAGATACAGACTTCCCATATATTTTTTCTTCTAATACTCATTGAGTGGGGCTTTAACATCAGAATATGGTGTTCATAATCAACTAGAAAAAGATAGCAGAAAAGATTTCAGGCAAGTTCTACATGTTTTAAAAGTTGTCTTTGGCATGATATGGTTCAGGCTTCCATCTGACTGAAAAATAAATTCAAGAGGAAGAGTGTGACTTTATCACAATCAAATAGTGATATACTGTTTGTGTCTTCTTGCATAGTGCCTGATGGCCTGGAAAGCAATATATTGTTGTTACAAACCTTTTGTGTGCTACACATCTTACTACACAATAGTTCAGATTACCTTTTTAAGGAGAAACTAAGACCACATGTGAAGAGCATGCTGTGTCAATGAACTGGACTTGCTCTTCACACTTTAAATGTAAAACAGTTCTGCAACAAATTTTGAAACAGACAACAAAAGTACTGCTTGATGGCAGTGGTTTCTTAGGCTACTTACTTTAATTTACTTACCAGGAAGATTATGCCACTTGTTTACAGCAAATAGCCTATTTGCAGTAACTGTGATCACAGCAGGATTGGCCAGACCAGGCTGGGTGTTGGCTGCTACATGAGTGACAGGGGAGTTAGATGGGAACTTTAGAACCATGATAACGTCCTGTTGAGCTTGGTCTGTGAACATCAACGGACTCTGCAGGAGGAGATACTGTTGAGTGCACACAACAAGAACCCAAATACATGGGAAAAGAAAACATGGGGAGGAGAAAAGAAGACAGGACAAGAGAAGGAAGATTGGATTAAAACACACAAGATCCAACAGCAGCTGCAGTGAAAAGCAAATGCAATAATAGTGGACAGGTTTGTGGAAACAACCATTTTAGGTAGAAAAACCTTCGCGCACTATTAATTTGAGGGCCTTGTTGAACACAGGGTGTCTATATACAAACTTTGCTACAGATCACAGCAGATTAAACTAAAAGTTTCCAATCACCTATCTCTGCCAAAAGAATTCTCCTTCATATCTGCAGAGATAGTATGTCAAGGAGAGCAATGCCAAACTGGGAGGAAACAAAAAAAGTGACCAAAAGAAATTCCTGCTCCCAGAGATTGTCTCAAGTTGCATTGAATTGGCAGGCTGCGATTCTTTACAAGCCAGATGAGAACATGAAAGCACATTAAAATAAACAGATACACACATACACTAGATATATGTTCTGTATATATTTCTGGTGCACAAAAATAAGATTTATGAATGCAAAGTAGAAGACTTCACTGCAAATGTGTTTCAAAGGACAAACATAATTAAATGCAGTTGTAAAGAATACAAAGTGGACATGACTACAGACATTATCCTGCATTTTTTCTAGAAATACTAAAGGGAGGGAATGAATCCAGCCTCTCATTTTCAACATAATATTTTTAGGTTTTTAGTTTTTTAATTTACTAAGTTGAAAAGTTTAATAACTTTTTAACTAAGCTCTCTAACAATACTGCAAATGTCAAAACAAAATATTGAGGACTTTAGATTCGGATATCAAACATAAGGAGGAAAAGCAAAACAATGGGTTTCTGATTGTGTGGTGTACCTAAAAAAAGAGAACTCCATTGAGATGTAGAAATACAACCATCCTAATCAGCAGTAGCCATATTGCTCTAGTATTTGTAATTTTCTAATAACTGAATTAGAACACTAATAAAGTGTTCTTGGCTATTTTCCACCTGCAGTATTTCATTACATATATGTGTATGTAAGTGCATACATTTAATGTATATTTATACAGAACTAATAAAAAAATTAAATACATTTGCATTTTTATTATCACTCCTTTTTAAAAAGTTATTAAGAGTACTTAGAAAAACATATTGCTCTATGAATTCCTATTTACAGTCTTTGCATAAAGGTGTAAATAAAAGCAACTAATAAGCTACCCAGACACCCTTCTGAGCAAGTGGCTAAAAGCCAATCAATATTATGAGTTAATCCTCCCTGGATGCTCATTCAATTAAAGGTGTCAGTAATGCCTCATCTGATGTGGCCTCAATTAAATCCAGCTATCTGATGGTTGAAAACACAAGGGGATACAGCAACAGCAGCAAAACCAGACAAATAGGCAGCCTTCATGTGACTGCTAATTACTACACCTGGTGTATATTATGGCTTGTGCGCTTAACACACCACGTGTCAATTCGGCTGTATACGTGCATACATGCACACACATACAGGAAAACAGAAAACTCAGTAAATAATACAACTAGAAATAATTCAAAATTGTGGCAGGAAAAACATCCTTACTGTATTTCAGCTCCAGGAATACTACTTTTAAAACCACTTAATATAGTGCTATTATAAAATCATGTATTAAAAACCACAAAACTGGTCAAAGCAAGTGGAGAACTAAAGGTTTTTTTCTGTGTGTACCTCAGCCCCAAAAACCCACAGGAGTTAGAAACAGTTAACTTCATAGAATTTAACTTCTTCCATTACATACTAAATCATACTAATTCAGCGTCATGAAAAATATTATGATAAAACCACACAAACTGCTTCCTGGCATCAAATGTATTTATATAACAATAGGTCTGACAAACACGTCCACAATCAACTTCTCAAGTTCTTCCTCTTCCTGAAACAAATCCCTCTAAATTAGGGCAAATGCCTAGTGCACGGCACCATGACAGATGGACACACATATGGTGTGTAGCTGTATGATGAGGGCACTTGGGCTCCCCAAAATCCCTGTTAACAGGGCTCTTCTGAAAGAGAGCCCCATGGGTTGCACACACAAGTCCCTGCAGTGGTCTGCAGCCCTGGGACACTACGTGGGAGGTGCAATGGGCCAGCAGATCACAAATCAGCACAATCAGCTCTGTCCATCCAGTACATGGGATCCCAGGGCAGGAACATGTCTACAGCACAGCTGTCAGCGTAGTATGTACTGGCTGCAGGGAAGGTGGTGGGGATAGGGGGACAGTCAGCTGAGCAAATCTCATGTACAACACATGACATATTTGAGAAAGGCTAGTAGCTCAGTTTGACAAGAAAGTTTACATTTCTTAGACTCCTATGTCACAAGGTTTGTAAGCTACTTTGGAAACATTTCAGATTTTTGTATAATTTTTCTAAAACCTTTTGCACTTCAGGTATGTTTTTCATCTAATAACCTTAGTCTGCTTGAGTAGGACATACGTCTTACAGGACATACAAGAAGAAAACATCTTTTTTTATATTTCAGTGTAAAATGGCCATCTTAACAATAAGGGAATGTAACCTTTTGAAAAACGTGTGAATTAGCAGACCAGTTGCTCCACTTGTCAGAGTATCACTTAACATACTTAGTTCTGGATCTATGACAACATAAATGATATTTTAGACTGAAGGACTGCACGCAACATGATATGGAAAGTAATCAGTAATAAAATAATAGTTTGTATAATACAATTATATTAGACACAAGTAGAGGTAAAAGGGAAAGCATGTTAATGCTCACTGCCTGGATTTTATCACCCTAGCTTTACTGCAAAACACATTTAGTCACATTCTTTGCTACGTAAGTTTCAGCTCATGAATTCCTAGTAATCCTGGTTTTAGGGGAAAAGCTATGCCTGGGGGAAAAGACAAGGAAGTTCCACCTCCTAAATCCATGCTTCTTGGGGAATCTGCCAAAGATTAACTAAATTGTCTCCATGATGACTGGCTCTCACCTGTACAGGTATGGTATTAACAAAATCAACTGATGAAGTGTTCTTAGATTACACTGACAAAAAAGGTCTGTACTAGAAATCAGTACAATCCTTTCAGCAATAAATAAAATAATAGTTAAGCACTGCATACACTCCCAGTCCTACAAAATCGTAACTCATCTGCCGTTTTTAATAACACAATTCCACGACCACATAAAAAGCAAAGCAAAGTGGCCAGATCTGTAACTTTAAGATAGCGAAGGAAATGAACAAAATGGCAGGTCACAAAGAGTTAACATGGTACTTACCACCTGCATGGCAGAACTTCTTGGAGGATGTGGTTCTATGAGCAGTTGGGAAGGGGTCTGTCCAAAACTTCGTATTTGAGCTTCAACAGCCTGGAAAAGGCACAGGCAGGTTTGCATGTTAAGAGGTGCTAATTACAGGCAATAGAACCATAACTGTCACCTGAAAATGTCATTCCACACTTCTGGCTTGTTTCATGTTGAAAATCAACCCCGTGTGTTCACTGTGGGGCTAAGTGCTTGGCACTGGTACTAAGAATGAGGTAATCATTTTAGGACTGTGGATGCTATTTCCATGAGAAACTCTGCAAAACCTCATCCTGCTCAATGATATTAAACAGAAACAAGCTATTATAATCAGAAACCCTCTTTATTGGCTCCATTTTTCCTTTCTAACACTGGCTTATCCTGTTTGTATCATAACTCAGAAATAAAAGTTAATTTTTAAAAAGTTTCTATAGGTATTAAGTGTTCTACTTTCTATTTAAACTGCATTGCTTAGTTTCACAGCAATAACTACAATGAAAGTGACACAGAGTTTTTTTCTTATTTTCATTTCTATTCAAAAAGAGCAAACAACTTTAGGATGCATTAAACTACCGACAGCAAGACTAATATTAAATGTAGCTAAAGGAGAATGTCAAGACATAATTTTTCAAAAAGTTTCTCTGTATCTTCAGCAACATGCTTTATCACTTTCTTCATAGGGCATCCATGAAAATACCATCTCATGCTTAGTGATTTCTTAAAAATAATTATTCTAAAATGTGTGAACTTATACCTCTTGCCTAAGCATGTCCAACTAGTTTTACATGATGCCACCTATTGGCCCACTGGCTTAGAGATAAAAATCAAGCAGCCAAAATTCAACAAGTTATTTCTTGTCAGCCAGGCCCCTGCACTATCCACAGAAACAGGCTGATACTACAGAAAATCTTAAACCATTCAGCTTAGATTAAACCTCTTTCATTGTGAGCTAACCTAAGTAAAATTACCTTGCATTTGCTGTGGGCTAACAGATTGCATATGGACCGATACTTTAGTTTCTCTGTTGCATGGTGCATTGAGCCCTACATTCTCAAAAGTGTCGAGTGATGCTGAGTACGAAAGGTGAGGCATTAGCAAGTCCTGCTTTCAAAAGATGTCCTGAAAATCAGACCCTTCAAAGAAGTGTTTTAAATGGGACACTTGAATGCTAAAACACAAAATCACTAGCCGTTTTTTAGCTATTAGAACCCTATGTTTTCTCTCAGAGATTCTTCTTTTTCGTGGTTCAACATACCTTGAGGCTCCTTACACTTATATTTCCTGTTCTATTCTAGCCACCCATTAAAATTTTTGAGACAATGGAATAACACTTATGCTGATCTTATTCTTACAAACAACTATTTTTAGATAATAATAGAGACTATTACTAGGACACACAATGTTCTCCTGTTACAGAAATAACAAAAACAAAAGTAGAATGCACCTGAGGCCTTAAGATCACCAAAAATAATCATCCTCTGATAGGAAACATGCCATCCAAAACACTAGACCTTATTACATTTGGCAGGGCTTTTGAAACATCTGAACTCACCAGAACAGGAGTTGCAATTACTCTAATGGCAGATTCTAACACTCTTGCCCACTCTGGGAAGCATCTTAATCTTTAAAGAACTGGTGAATAAGTAAGTTTATCAAAAAGCTGGCTGAAATCTGATGTACAAACACTGTGATTCAATGAGTACTTTTTGAGGAACAGCAATATCAGATTCACGAAACACTAAAGCTTACTGAGCTTACTCACCATCAGAGTACCCTTCCTGGTGATGAGACATGCTACATTAAAATTCAAATCTGGGTTTTTGTGCCTCGAGATATCGAGGGAATCACAAGGGCATAGAATTTGTGGTCCCTTAAGACATGAGGCATTAACAAAGCAACCGCGTACTGGTCAGCAGCTCTACCCTCTTCATAAAAAGCCGTAAGTTTCAAAACATCCAGATTAAAAAGATTTGCCTACATTTACTTGCAGATTGAGTGGAATATTTTTACTAGCAAATGGGAATTTTGCATTGCATTAAGAGTAGAACCAGAACACAGGAGGAGCAGAATGCAGACAGTCCTGGATGTCAGTTATTCTGTGCTTGTTAAAATCTTCAGGGCAAATCTACAGTCTATAGGATCTACTAGTTATTTCCTATATTTCCTATAAAATATATACCAAATATATTATTCAAAATTAATAAAATATTCTTGAAGCACAACTCCCATGCATTTCTTTTAGATCTGAAAATAGAATAGATAAAATGAGGAAATAATAAGCTTCGGATTTATTAACTTCCTTGTATATTGACTTATGATCAATATGGAAACTTCCATTCCCAAATAGCCCACGTTCAGCATTTAAAGGGAGTCAGAATTTTGTCTTACCCATGAAATCTCGTATGTCCTTTAATTCCCAGTGCTACCTCTACAAACTATACTCTCTTACATAGTGCCAGTACTAAGAAAAGGAAAATTAAACACAAGATACCACATTATTGATGCAGAGCGTTTCAAATACTTCAAATACATCCATCGTAACAAGAGCCCACACTGATGTAGAACAAAAATCAGATGTCGTAATTGCTTTAATCAATGAAAGATCAGCAGTCAGAATGCTATTTTCCACAGTCCAGACCTCAGAGGAACTCACCACCTTCCAGCAACATAAAAACTGGAAAAGCTACCGTTATGATTCCACTGCTTACTCACATACATGATGTTTGTCATTATCACACTCCTAGACCACACAACAGCAGCAGCAGAACAGCTATTTGTCTCCCACCCACCCTCAGTGCAGAAGAGAATCCCTCTGGGATATTAAAAACAAGTATAAAATATTCTACTCAACCCGCAAGTAGATAGTCACTGCCTGTTTTCACATAGTGTTCCGTCAGAACTGGTGAAACTGCTGACCAGTGGGACAATGATTTTGCCAAAGCCTGCCTTAGAGGACCACAAATTCTCCGTTTTCAGTCTTTAACAGACAGTTTCTACATCCATGTTTATGATCTAGCTTGAGTTTGGGATTTACAGTTCCGGCACAAACAAGTCTTTTAGACTCATTAGGTTCCATCTGGTCCTTCAGAAAAATACAAGAGCCTACATTTCTAGGATTATAATAGCCCCCTGACACAATCTTTCCCTTTTAGCCAACAGAACTGGGAAAAATCTACATTCAGATCACGTCCTACCACAGGTAACAAGGTTTCATAAAACATCAAAACTGTACACAGAGTAAAGGCAGAGATACTGGTATCTGTATGTCCTCTTTACTGACGTCTTCAGAGATCCAAAAGAAATTTGAAAAACTGTTGAGTAAAGGCAACAACACTTGGACAATTATGTCTAGACATAGTGGCTAGACTTCAGCATAAAAACCTTTTGCATTCCTTTTAGTTATCAAGAAAAAAAAGTAAAGATTTCTTTATTTAGTTTCAACATTTCTTAATTATGACCAAGAGAGTGTACTAGCAACCCCAAATGATTCCTTCCTTTTCCCAGATCGTATTCAAAGTCAATCCAGATGTCAACTCCACGTTCTGATGATGTCTCAGTCAGAAGGATCACATACAGAAGGATGCAAGATGACCTCCCCCTGTCAGCAGAAACATGCGATGGTGGAGCTAGAATCAATCCCCATTCTCTCAATTTACAGCAACAGAAAGAGAAATACAGGGCATTTTAGTCACCAGATGTCACTCAGACTTTTGTTCAACCTGTCAATCAGCTAGGAGCAGGGAATCTTTTCCTCAGAGAGGTAATTAATATCTCCTTTGAAGAAAGCAACCTACCACTTACCTGAGAATATACAGTAAAATGACCATCAGTCAAAAAGTCATCAACTCACTTTCTAACAAATTATAGCCCAGCTTCTAACTTAGTTTTCTTGAAAAATTTATTACTAGCATTAGTCAGTATTACTAAGAGACGGCCAGCTTCTTCTAGTGGCAGAGGAAGTGCATGTGTTCTCACATTGCTGAATCCCTCTGGAGCATACAGCCATTTAGAGAATTGTAGGTAGAAATATTTGGGAAATTTGCACAACTGCTTTCACATCTATTAAAGGCACTATATAGCTGGAAAGGAATAACCTTTGTTTGAAAGGTATCTTTAGTTCCACAAACTCTTATCTCTGAAAGCATGCTGCATACCACAAAGTAAAAGATAATATCATTCAACATTTTGTTTCACTGCTTCTCAAATATCTCAGTAAAATAGCTTTCTTCCTGTTAATCCTCTACAAAAACAAAAGTTTAGTAAGGCCGGAACTGTTCCAGATGCTACAACAAGAGTAATAAAATGAAACAAGGTAACTAACCCTTTACAATAATCCACACAGTATGCATCTCAAACCACATACTTACATGATAAACATGGTATTTCAAATGTTAATCGATTTATAAGTATGAAAGCCAGAAGCAAATGTCACAAGTTAACATTTATCTGATTACCACAACAACCTGTTCCTAAAAAAGTCTCCTGGATCATCTCCTCTTTTCTTGGGGGTGGGGAGAAGGGGAATAGAGAAGTAAATTAAAAGAGGAAGAGTGAAAAACTCGAAAACTTGGCTTAGCTATAATGTAGCTTTTGGCCACTGCTTAGTATGGATATTTTCAGTCTCTGAACTTACCCTCTAATCTAACTGTGAAGAAAGTTAATTCAACAGTATGCAGTACCCACCAAATACGGCTGTAAATTTTTTGGGAAGGAGGGTGATGGGGAGGTTGAACATATGGATGCAGTTAAGGTAAAAACAGATGTTTGTTACTTTTCTTTGCAGCAACACTCAGAAACTAAGTCAAAATTGCTTTTTTTTCATGTTTATGTCTGAAAGAACTATAAAATTAAATATGAGGGAGGGCGGGTGGAGGGGGAACTGCAGTGAGCGTCACAGAGAAAGAATGAAACGGTCTCCAGTTTTGAACTCAAATCCTGAAATGAAGGCCCATATAGTTAAAAGGCAAGACATACACCATTTAACTTTAGATTTAAAGACCCTTAAAGAGACTAGCTCAGTTGCTTTCATCATGCCTGCTCAGACACAAAACCCCAAATTGTCTGAA